TGAGTGAAGGGGCGGGGCCATGCTGAGCTGGAGGGGCGGGGCCAGGCTGAGTGGAGGGGCGGGGCCAGGCTTAGCAGGCTTAGATGTGGGCAGGAGCTGACGTCCTGGGGTTCTGAGGTTGCTGGGCACCTTCCTGTCCGTCCTGTTTGTCCCAGAAATGATCCAAGTGGCACCGCTGGAGGGTCATTGCTTTGCGAGCAGTGAGGGACAACAGGGCGCTCTCTTCCCCCAAACTTAAGTTTTTAATAAGCATTTTTAGCTCAGGAAATTAAAAATGCCAAAACACCCCAGAGCAGTACTGTTCCCTGTGCACGTGCCCAGAGGCCCAGCTCACCTCGGCTGTGCATGGCTGGTGCTGAATGCTTACCTGGTGGGGTTCCCACAGCAGGTAGACAAGCCGCTGAGGGGGGGTTAGGGCTGGGGTGACGAATTCGTGTTGGATGAGTGACACATGCGTGTTGAGTGAGTCCAAATATTGTCCTTCATTTTCTGCTTCTCCCCTTCCTCTTCCTGGAGAGACATCTCATATATACTTATTACTTAATGTTTAAATCAAAGCAAGGAATTCACGAAGCTGTCAGGACCCTTTGGAGACCCAGCGAGGCGGTTGTGCAGGGCGCGGTGGGGAGTGTGGGTTGGGTGGGGACTCCGAGCTCACCCCGAGGCCGCGGGCCTTTCCTGCCCTCGTTGCTTTCTGTGTTTCACACACACATCCTACCTGGACTCTGGTTATGGGGTTCAAGGCGTTTGCGAGATCAGAAAAACCGCTCTCCCCTCACACGTCTGGTCTGAGGGTTTTCATAAACTGGTGTGTGCAGACTGAACCTTACACACAGGCTGCGTCCTGAGAAAAGCTTCAGGAAGGGACCGAGGAAGCTGATTAATAGCGTGACCAGTGGTGAGTCACAGGAGGACCTGCTTAATCTGCAGCCTACGAAGTCTGTTCCTGTGTGTGTGTGTGTGTGTGACTGTGTTAGTGTGTGTGTGTATATGAGTGTGTGAGTGTGTGTGAGTATGAGAGTGTGTGTGAGTGTGTGTGAGTGTGTGTGAATTGTGGTGTCGTGACAGAGAAAAACAGGTAGTTATGTGTTTATCTGTAAACACAGATGAGGTGCTGGGGGACTTTGTTATCTAAACCAACGACAGTGGCTCTTCATTTGGGGTGCCATGGAAGACCCACCCACTAGGTTATAGGATCTGTACGTCTATGTCAGTGATGGCGAACCTATGACACGCGTGTCAGAGGTGACACGTGAACTCATTTTTTTGGTTGATTTTTCTTTGTTAAATGGCATTTAAATATATAAAATAAATATCAAAAATATAAGTCTTTGTTTTACTATGATTGCAAATATCAAAAAATGTCTATATGTGACACGGCACCAGAGTTAAGTTAGGGTTTTTCAAAATGCTGACACGCCGAGCTCAAAAGGTTCGCCATCACTGGTCTATGTATCCGTATGTCGCATTTAAAAATACGCCAGGACAGCAGCCTGCGTGTGGCTCGTCTGGTGTTTGCGGGATGTGAGAGAGAGAGAGAGATTTAGAGCAGTAACCGCTGTGGCCGCCAGCGCAGCAGGAAACACCAAGAGGCAGAGCTGCCTCTGAGAGAGGGTGGCCTGCGGGCCAGGGGAGCGAGTCCACACAACCTGCCAAACCACAGAAGTGCCGGCCAGACCCCCAGCTCAGCCACTCACGGCCTTTCGAAGTCACAGGCTGCTGTGTGGCAAAGGCCAAACTCTTTCTTCCCCTTTCCTTTCTCATAAAGTCTCTCAAATTCCTTTTTCTTCATTCCTGCTTCTGCCGTTTGGGGCTGTAATATGGACGGTTGGCCTGGGAAGCCCCGTGCTCGGCCCGATTCAGACCTCCAGGTGGCCTCATGCTTCTGAAGGTCCCCTCACCCCTCGCCTTCGAGGACACTGCCTGCTCCCCACTTCTGCCTCTGCCCCCCTGGCACCTCCCTCCTCTCTGCCTCCCTCGGGCCCCCTTGGAGGACGGCTTAGCCCCTGCCCCTGCCCCGCCTTCCACAGGGACCAGCTCTGCTCCCCAGAGAGGAAAGCCCACAGGAATGAGACTTCTGGCACTGTGTGTGTGTGTGTGTGTGTGTGTGTGTGTGTGTGTGTGTTAATATATATTTTTATTGATTTCAGAGAGGAAGGGAGAGGGAGAGAGAGACAGAAACATCAGTAATGAGAGATCAGCTGCCTCCTGCACACCCACTACTGGGGATCGAGCCTGCAACCGGGCCGGGCCTGCCCTGACCGGGATGGAACCGTGACCTCCTGGTTCATAGGTCGATGCTCAATCACTGAGCCACGCAGTCGGGCTACTCCTGGCAGTTTTGTAGCTGGTTGCCATCGATAGTTACCCACCTCAGGTCTGCTCCCTACAGACTCCAATCCCAGCCACCCAGTGGGAGCTGCACCCAGGGTCAGACACGGGCGTGTGTGTGTGTGTGTGTGTGTGTGTGTGTGAATATATATTTTTATTGATTTCAGAGAGGAAGGGAGAGGGAGAGAGAGAGAGAAACATCAATGAGAGAGATCAGCTGCCTCCTGCACACCCACTACTGGGGATCGAGCCTGCAACCGGGCCTGTGCCCTGACCGGGAATGGAACCGTGACCTGGTTCATAGGTCGATGCTCAACCACTGAGCCCCGCCCGGTCCGGCTACTCCTGGCAGTTTTGTAGCTGGTTGCCATCGATAGTTACCCACCTCAGGTCTGCTCCCTACAGACTCCAATCCCAGCCACCCAGTGGGAGCTGCGCCCAGGGTCAGACATGGGCGTGTGTGTGTGTGTGTGTGTGTGTGTGTGTGTGAGAGAGAGAGAGAGATTTATAGCGGTTATGTGCAGTGCTTACAGGAGACTGTAACAGCCTCCGTGTCCACATTTTATCTGGAATTCCTTTGGTCTGTATTTAAAATACAGAGTCAATATCGGCAGTGCAGGCGACGATGAAGAGTTGGGACGGAAGCCGGTCACATCTCACGTGATGACAAGGAAGGGGTCCTGCCAGGGTTGCCGGGTCATTGTCTCACTAACAATTCCTGAGGCAGAAACTCATTCGGCAGCAGATGTTTTCCTAAAAGAGCTTTGTTTCCACGTGAGGAAAGGTGGCCCATGGGCTCGACCTCAGGGAGGGCTGTTTTCTGATGTTTGGATGAGGGTTTCTTCCCGTCGCTTCCTGAAGTGGCTGCCCGGTCGCCCTGGTGATGGTGAGGGTCAGGGCTCAGGCCGGGCCTTGGTGATGGTGAGGGTCACGGCTCAGGCCGGGCCTTGGTGCCCGGAGGAGCTCCCGTGGGAGTCGCTGCGGCTGAGCTTCCTCCCTTCGCCAGCCGGGGGCGCCCGGGCCGTTTGGGAGACGCAGAGCCGGGGAAGAGCTGGTTGTACCTGTTGTTTTAAGTCCTGGTGCTGAACAGGTAAACTTTTTTTTTGAATTAAAAACTCAGCACAGAGTGACTCTAATTTAAATAATTACTTCTGGCCTATTCACCAACAACGTGAGAAAAGCCTGCTGTTACTGTTATTGGCATTTTTTCCCTTTTCTGTTGGGAAAAAAAGGGCAATTTTATCGAAAGCTTTTTAAAAAAAATTACTAAGCCTTCTTACATCTGTACACAACTCCTGAATCCGTTTTTATTTCCAGGCTTTTTTGCGTGTGAATATTTTTATATAATTACACACACAGTAACACGAAAGGTGCACATGCTTTTTCAGTAAATAGTGTAAGATTTTTACACGCAGTTTTGCATCTGTAACGGAAGCACATGGGAGTGAGATATAGACATTTTTTTTACTTGGAGTTTGTCCCTGAGCTGTTTGACAGAAAGTGTTTAATGTCCATCATGAAACAACAATAGGTTCTGCCGCTAGATTTGCAATCAGTGAAGGTCGCTTTGCTCCAGAGAGAGCATTTTATCTTATTCAGAGGAGAACCATTGGCCAGGAGACACGGCGTTTAAAGGACAGACTTGGAATGTGAGAGAATCGATGCGTCGTTGTGACGTCGGGTGGACCGGTTCTGTGGTTAAAGTGTCTCCAGGTGCACAGCACCCTCCCATGGTAGGGCTTTGTCCTCCCGGCAAAGGGGAGGGGGAGGGAGGAGAAGGACCCTTGGACCCTTGAGCAGCCAGCAACTCGCCGCCTCCCGCCCGCCCCTGGCTGCGCTCACTGCCCTTGGCCCCTGTGGGCTCCTCTCAGGGACATCCAGATGCCCTCAGACCCTCCGTGCCCTTTGAGAATGGCTTCTTTATGGAGCACGATGTTTGCCAGGTTCGCCCACGCTCCCTGCATCGTCCTTCATCCCTGTTTATTCTGAATAATATTCCGTGTGTGGACGGACCAGACTTTATTAATCCATTTCGTCTGCGACGGACATTCGAGGTGTGTGCACTGCGGGCTGCTGGGGATGATGCTGCTACAGACACTCATCCATGTGCCAGGTCGTGTGTGGACACGTGCTGCCAGCTGACCTGTGCTGTGGGCCTCGGGGTGGGCTGGCCGCGGCCCCTGACGGCTCAGCGCGTCTCTGTGAGCAGCTGCCTCGGTCTGAAGTGGCCGCACCACGTTAGCGTTTCAGCTGAGATGTCGGGGCGTCCGGTTCTCCACGCCTTTGGGGGCACGTCTTCTGGGTGATGGCCGCCCCCATGGGGTTGTGGTTTGTTCGCCCCGATGGCTAAGCACACTGAGCCCCTCTCATGGGCGTTGGCATTTCTGTGTCTTCTTGGCGACGTGTCCTTTTAGCTCTTTGGCCGTTTAAAAACATCAACTGGGCTGTCTTTTTATTATTGAGTTGAAAAAAAAGGTACGGAATTTTAGGGGGTTTATGCAAAGCATTGGAAGAGGGTGTTCATACGGAGATAACCACCAGCAAGGCCAGGCGTACCCTCATGGTCTTTTAAAAATGCATAAGTGATGATGGGGGAGCGGTCTCCTGGGGGCACCTGTCACGCGGTACAGGGAGCAGATGTGATACGGGAAGCGTGGTCTAGAGCAGCCCTGTTTGGTTTGCTTTTAGTTCTGATGTTTAATTTATTCTGAAATTTCCAAATGTTCAGGCAGGAACGTTTATTTCTTTAGGTTTTTAAACTGTGTTTGGGGGAACCTCTTGTGATTGGGGAGGGAGGGTGTCGGGAGGGAGGGTCCAATTTTATTGTTTTGTTTGCTTTACTTCTTTGACGTACCCTCATGGTCTTTTAAAAATGCAAAGGTGATGATGGGGGAGCGGCAGTCTCCTGGGGGCACCTGTCACGAGGGGGAACAGGGAGCAGATGTGATACGAGAAGTGTGGTCTAGAGCAGCCCAGTTTGGTTTGCTTTTAGTTCTGATGTTTAATTTATTCTGAAATTTCCAAATGTTCAGGCAGGAACGTTTATTTAAGTTTTTAAACTGTGTTTGGGGGAACCTCTTGTGATTGGGGAGGGAGGGTGTCGGGCAGGAGACTGGACCGTAGCCAAGCAGAGCGGGTCCAATTTTATTGTTTTGTTTGCTTTACTTCTTTGAAAAAAAAAAAAGACCCAGCAGCTATGCCACATTACAAGCCCAACATCGCTGCTGTGTCCTGAGCACGTCTCCCCAGAGAAGCACCGAGGCCCGAGGGGCTCAATGTCGTAGAGGAACGGTTCACGGAGCCGTCCCCCAGGGTGTGCAGGCCCCGTGGGGAGTGGGCGTGTCTGGGCTTTTTTCCTGAGACGCCTGATGGGGGTTGAGCTCATCTCCTGCCAGATGTGCTTCGAGTCGAAGGCCAGCGAGGCCCAGACCGTCCTGGTGGCTGCAGGGTTTCGTCAGCTGCTTGTGGAGCAAGAGACCAAAGGGCCAAAGCTCCAGGGGCTGAGAGCCCAGGGGACCCTCTCACTTTAGTTTTGTGTGACACCTTCACGTCCCAGATTTAAAAAATACTTTGATTGATTTCCGAGAGGGAGGGGGAGAGAGAGAAACATCAACAACGAGGGAGTCATTCATCAGCTGCCTCCTGCACGCCCCCCACTGGGGATCGAGCCCACGGCCGGGCCTGTGCCCTGACCGGGAATCGAACCCTGACCTCCTGGTTCATAGGTCAATGCTCACCCTCTGAGCCACCCAGCCGGGTGGGCTGACACTCTCCGTGAATGCCCAGCTGTGATGATCTGGGCGTCTTGCACCAGCTGATCTGGGCCGTCCGCTCTTTTAACGGGAATTTGTTCCGAGGCATCGCTCCCAGCTGCTTGTGGAGCAAGAGACCAAAGGGCCAAAGCTCCAGGGGCTGAGAGCCCAGGGGACCCTCTCACTGCCATGAACTCTTTCGGGGAGATGGGGAGACGGTGGAGAGCCCCCCCGTGACGCCCTCACAGGGCAGCCCAGCAGCCGGCCAGCCTGGCCCAGCGCGCAGTTGTCTCGGGTGGAGACTCCTTCAGAGACGACACCCCCGGCCCGATACACAGGGACCCACAGGGGGCCTCCCTCCAGCCTGAGGAGCTGGTTTGTTCCCGTCCAGTCCTCTCCCCGAAGCCACGTCCAGGGAGACACCAGCCTGGCCTCCTGGCTCGGGAAGGAGGCTCCGCTCTCCAGGGAGCGGAGGGAGGAAACGTCTGACCTTTCACCTCATTCCTGTCTTGCCATGAACTCTTTCGGGGAGACGGGGAGACAGTGGAGAGCCTCCTGTGACGCCCTCACAGGGCAGCCCAGCAGCAGGCCGGCCTGGCCCAGTGCGCAGTTGTCTCAGGTGGAGGCTCCTTCATAGACGACCTCCGTAGAAGCTGGCCGTGGGGATTAATCAGGACTTGCTAATGGACGAGCGTAAATAGTCTGTGTGCATTAATGGGCTGGAGAGGAGGTGACTGACACTTTGACAGGATCATTGACTAGATGCATAATTGCTTAGCAAACACACAACACTAATTTAGAAACCTGTCAGTAACGTCTTCCTGATTCTAGTGACGAAGACATTATTGCCGACATTCTCTGCTCATGAAGATTAGACTAGAGCAGTGGTCGGCAAACTGCATTTGTGTGTGTGCATTTCATGCGTGCATTTCAGCGTGTGCTCTCCCGCTCCGCCTGCAGGAAGGAGCTCCTTGCCAAGCTGGCGCAGGCGGAGGAGGAGAAGGGGGATGCCGCCCAGCTGGCCCGCGAGTTCGAGGCGCTGACGGAGGAGAACCGCACCTTGAAGCTGGCTCAGTCCCAGTGCGTGGAGCAGCTGGAGAAACTCCGCATCCAGTACCAGAAGCGGCAGGGCTCGTCCTAGCGCAGGTCCTCCCCCGGCCCCTGCAAAAAAAAAGAGACGGAATCCACTCATCCCTCCGCATTATCCGTGGTTCAGCACCACAGTCCAGACCACGCCCGTGGGGGGCCTGCAGGAGCCAGGTGCCCCACGATTCTCCCTCTTCATTGATGTTTCTCTCTCCCTCTCCCTCTCTCTTCCTCTCCGAAACCATTAAATATAGATTAAAAAGAAATCCCCTTTCAATAGCATTTCCTGTCCCTCCACCCGCATGAAGGAAGGCAGGTTCCACGCCCTTTGGGTCATGTTTAGGCGCCTGCCCCCTCCCTCCCGGGGGTAATGCTCGCGCTGGACACAGGCCTCCCGAACCCACAGTGTCTCGGAGTCACTGTTTATATAAAGCTCCCCCCAGCAGCATTTCACCATGTGACCCCAAGCCATTCGCGCACAGGGGCCAAACTCCCCGTGACGCGGTCTTTTCCAAATAAAGGCCATTAGCCAAGTTGAGAGTCCCCACAACCAAGGTGGCGGCCTTTCCAGAAACAGAAATATTCGTCCGAATGATGCATCCATGTCCCAACTTCCTGCAACATAAAGGGTCCCCACAACGTTTCAATGTGCTTCCTGGCTCATGGGCGTGTCCCTCCCCATGTGTTGCAGCCAACAGGGGTTTTTCCAGGAACGCAGCTGGGGATGGTGGACCCAGTCATGGCCCCCCCCAACCCCGCCCCCATGAGATACGCTGTGTGGAAACTGTTACAGGTTCCTTCCGTCCGTCCATCCGTAAAGGTGCTCTACCCCAGGCCGGTCCCTGAAGGGGCGAGAGGAACGATACACAGGGACCAAAGGGGGCCTCCCTCCAGCCTGAGGAGCTGGTTTGTTCCTTACCCACCTCCGTAGAAGCTGGCCGTGGGGATTAATCAGGACTTGCTAATGGACGAGCGTAAATAGTCTGTGTGCATTAATGGGCTGGGACAGGAGGTGACTGACGCTTTGACAGGATCATTGACTAGATGCATAATTGCTTAGCAAACGCACGACACTAATTTAGAAACCTGTCAGTAACGTCTTCCTGATTCTAGTGACGAAGACATTATTGCCGACATTCTCTGCTCATGAAGATTAGACTAGAGCAGTGGTCGGCAAACTGCATTTGTGTGTGTGCATTTACATGCATGCATTTGTGTGTGTGCATTTCATGCGTGCATTTGTGTGTGTGCATTTCATGCGTGCATTTCAGCGTGTGCTCTCCCGCTCCGCCTGCAGGAAGGAGCTCCTTGCCAAGCTGGCGCAGGCGGAGGAGGAGAAGGGGGATGCCGCCCAGCTGGCCCGCGAGTTCGAGGCGCTGACGGAGGAGAACCGCACCCTGAAGCTGGCGCAGTCCCAGTGCGTGGAGCAGCTGGAGAAACTCCGCATCCAGTACCAGAAGCGGCAGGGCTCGTCCTAGCGCAGGTCCTCCCCCGGCCCCTGCCCCCCCCCCACCCCCCAG